CCGGTACCCATCCCTACGCATAAATATACATTTCCACCAACTGCAGTGTTACAATCTTAGGTTTCTACAACATTTACATTCTCAAACCCAGAAACAACAACTTAGAAGTGATCACAGAGCAGTGCTGAGTTCTAAGGCTTGTGAATCCAGATAATTTCCTTTAAAAAATATCCTACATGTGAAACTGTCCTCAGTGTTTGGACTGCTGGATGGAAAAAGGCTGCTGGCAGCTCACAGTATAATTCAGCCATCGGTCACACTCTGAAACACAGAGAGCTGGAAACCTCAGCAGGTCTAACAGGACTGTATCTGACTGGACACCACTAACACGAACACCTAAAAACTGAGGGTATGTTTAGAAAAACAACCCAATCAGACAGTAGATTCAGATTGTATGGTCACATATCCAATCAACTGTTGGACATACTGGTGCTTTTTGTATTTGTAATATCTTCTATGGCTGATTTTGCTCAAGTCTGTATTTGTCTTACTTCTTCTTGATGTTGGGACACAGTTTGAGGACGTCTTCCTTGCAGGCTGTCTTGAACTTGTAGGAAAAACGGAAATCTTTAACTTGAATCTGTGGACAGGCAGAAGGGCAGTCAGAGCAGTTGGTTATTAATGATTTCAAGAAGCTGCAGGAATATTACAGCCTTTCTAAACTGATAAGATTTTGCATAACAAAACATTAGGAGCTCATTCTTCTTCTACTCCTGCACCAACACATTTCCATCAGTCTGCTCACCAGCTGGAAGTGTGTCACTCCCACGGCACACTTCTCATTCATCTCCTTCTGGTGTTTGTTCTGAACCAAACACTCCATCAGATCACCAGAGTCGATCTGGTTATCAGCCACCTCCTGCCAGGCGCACAGAGAAAAGGAGAAGGAAGACTGAACTCATCGACAACTTCCTCTGAAATATGTTGAAACTGACAAAAGTAATCAACATGCTGTATTTAGCAGAAGATGCTTTGAAAGAGCTGTGAAAAATGTGCTTCTCCTCTAAAGTGCCTTAATAATTTCCTGCACACTGCATAGATGCAAGATGGTTCAAGTGAGTTAAAAAATAAAAGTCACCGTCTTATTCATCTGATCAAAAATAACCTCTCAGTGTGACGAGAACTTGTTCATGAGCATTTTAGCAAAGTACAGCGAGCTCTTCGTGTGGTGCCAGCTTTGACCAAACACAGAAACTTTGAAATTTTGTTTTGTGGTCAAGAACTTAGACCACACATGGGAAAACCCAGGTCAGGGACCATCTCAGTCCAGCCCCCAACATCCTAAAAACAAACAAATAACCCCTCAGAAGTTGTAACTTCAGGGGGGCACAAAAGGAGAAGCACATATATATTAATAAACCAGACAACACTATGGCAATAAATAAGAGGGCAGCTTTGGAAATGATTGTCTCACAACTGTGAAAAGATGAACCTACTGGAAGGAAAACATGAGCTGTGAAAGGACTGCTGGTTTGCAGAGAATTTTCAAAATAAGAGCATGGGGACTGTCCACAAGAGAAAATTTGATTTTGCTGTTACAGATGAATTTTTTTTAATTTAACTAGACTGCAAAATATCCTCCTTGGCAGGCCTTCAGCTTTTTGTGCATCATGCTTCAATTCCATTGTTGAGTATATGGCATCTCTGACCTGCTAAGGAAAAACGTTACGCGTCGCAGCTTCAGTCACAGGAACATCAGTTTGCTTGGAGGCTGTTGTAGAGTCTCAACCAAACTTAGTATATTCAACCAAAACACAGAAAATGTCCAAAGAATTGAAGTTTGAAGGAAGATGTGCTCATCAGTTCATACTTACATGGCAGTGGGCCTGAATGATGGGATCACAAGCTCTCATCAGCAGCGCCTCAATCTGAATATCCTGCAGACGGAAATCACAAACTCAAAATGACTTCAGCCAGTTCAGGTTTACCTGCTTTTATCAGAGTGGGACGGCTCAAACGCACTATTTCAGTCCAAATGTCTGCGTACTGTACTGAGAAGTTAATTATCAGGTTGGTGCCCCACCTGCTGCCTGCCAGTAATTCAGTGCAAATAATACAACTTTTCAGACAACTGGAAACTGGTTTGTAAACACCTATAAAAAAGGGCCAAGTCTTTTTTTTAATCATCCTTAATCATCTTTAACTACATACAGAAAATTTATGCAAAACTCATTTCAAGCCCTTACTTCCTTTGATTTTAATACCTTTAATGCCTCAAAGGAACCTTGGAAACATCAGTTGTCTCATGTTTGTGCCTAATGCTTTGCACGTTGCACGCTTTAAAGAAACTGCAGTGTGCGGAGACAAGCTAACCTCTGACTCCATCTCGGTCAGGTTTCCCACCACCTCCTTGCAGTCAGCAACCAGGTCGTCCAGGTGGTCCTGCAGGCACTCCAGCTCCTGCCCGGCGTCCGTTTTCTCGCTGCACCACTTTCCCAGGTCAGTCATGCAGCGCCTCTGCAGCTCAGGGTCCAGCTTCACATCCAGCGCCCTCTGGTGGAGAATCCTCTGCACCTCCACCTTGCAGTCCCGGGAGAGCTGCAGGAGGACGACGATGACGACATCGTCATCAAATTACCCACCAAAGTATCGGCTGCTGTTAATCACGGACACTGTAAAATGATACTCCACCCAAGATTTTCAGTGTGTCTGTCCTTCACATTTAATCCTCAAAAGCCTTTAGATTTGTACGTTTAATTCAGTATTAACAGATAAAATGTGAGTGTGATATTGACATTAAACGTTAATACTTTTGTGGCACTTGTTTTTCACCATTTATTTCTCATTAACAAAGACGACAATGGCGGAGAGCAGCATTGCCTTTCTACTAATCAAGTCTTCATTATCAGTGTTGCACTGTATACAGGTCTTTGCGATTTTTGAGCTCTTTAAAAAGCTATTAATGATTTTGTCACACTGTATTTCTCCAGTCTGTACTTGTAATGCAGCTGCACATTCCCAGGTTACTAAAATGCATTGATATTAATGACCGCTGGAGCACAGACACCTGCTCAAGGTGTGTGAAACTTCCCATACAGGCCAAAACATTTTTTGCAGCAGGCTGTAAACATGTTTACAACATGTTTAGTCTATGGGGACCGACTCTACACTCAAGCCTCAAGTGGACATTCCAGGTACTGCAGCGTTTTACAACTTCCTGGTTTTCATGGACGTTTCTTCCTGTCAAAAGGGAATTCTTCCTCCCCACCACTGCCAGATGCTACACAGAGGGTAATTAGATTAGCAAGGTTCTCTCTGTAACATCATAGGGTGTTTAACTAATTTCACACAACTTGTTACAAGCCTCAGCAGGACTGGAAAAACACATTTTGGGTGGAGTATCACCTTAAACACAGCCAGCGTTTCCTACACTGCTTGTTTTAATCAAAGGCTTAATTTTGCTGCAGCTGAATCATCAGCATCACCAAGTTTTCCGTAAGTGGATTGTCATATTGATTCTTCACTTCAGGGTTCAGCAGCTCACTTCAGCAATTAAAAGCCAGCTCCCACATGCACTGAGAGTGGGTGGGAATTATCCAACACAATCACTTCTCCTCTACAAACCACCAGTAATCATCCAAGATGTGATTCTGTGAGCAGCATCATGAGATCAGCAGCAGTAAGAGGTACTCACCATCGAACCATGGTTTTCCGCTTCAGACTCCCCACTGGGGAACTACGAGAGCATTCTGTGGTCAGAGACTTCCTGTATATATTTGGCACCTTACATTTACCTCTTCACACATGCAAGTTGCTGTCAGTTCAGGCTTAAAGCAACTTTGTGCGTTTATATTAAATAAAGATTAAAGTCACTTCATCTGAATTCGTCACAGCTGTCTTCACCGCCTTCAAACTGCAAACATTTCCAGTATTTTTCACATTTGGCAGAAATTCATCAGACTAAACAAGGGTTTAACTTCTGTATCTGCACTTTTAGGCTGAGCCTACAGATAAGTCACAACCTTGAGAACAAAAACAGAAACAACTGTGCAGACACAGAAAACTTAAAGCAAGGAACATTTAAATGACCTTTTATTTAAAAAGCCTAAACTGTAGAAAAATGCACTTTTTTTAACTAATTTGAATTCAGAGGCCTTTCAAGCCACTGAGAGTATACAAAACGTTCCCCCTGTAAATCGCTTATTTGGCATAAAAATGTCCAAATTAGTCCAAAAAACTGCAGTGCTCATTTGAAAACAAAATGTACACTGTACTAATTGCAATACTGTAAGCAGTCACACAATTAAGGCAACACTTCACTGAGCCACAGTGCACAGTCTCTTTATAAAATTAGTCTACTTTCCTAATGTAAATACAGAGCTCCTATGGCTGCATGAATGCCCTATAAGCCAGGCTTTTGTGCTTTACAGTTACCTCTCCTGAAACAAACCGTTCTATTAACAAATCTAAAACAGCACTTGGAGATCTCCAAGTGCTGTAATCTTCACATTTAATCATTAGATTAAATCAACGGCAGAGACTCACCCTTCGTCCCTGCTCCAGAGAGCGGTAGGCGTGGCGGTACAGGCATGAGAAAATGGCACCAGGTGGCATCAACTCGCTGGTCTCATTCCAGCCGTGAGTGTGGCAGAGTCGGGATGCATCGGACTGACATTTCTTGTACAGGATCGGATCCAACCTAAGCAGCGACACAGGATGTAACAGGCAGATTAATACCTGCAGCTGTCTCTTTGGGACTAAAGCACAGACAGAATAAAAGATAGACGAAGATCCTGGCTCTGAAACGTAAAACCAATGCAGAACTGTCTTAAACCTACTTTAAAAAAAAAAAAAAAACCAGGGGGGCGGTGCTTGTGGTTGTAAAAATCCTTCCAGTCCCACAGACATCTATGAGAAAAACCACCCCGTCTAAATGCCTCCCTAAATTCAGGTTCACTTCAGATCCTCACTTGTCAACTTTCACTTCAAAGCAGATGGCAACAGCAAAACTCTCAAGGCTTCCAATCAGCACTTTACTAACAAGTGTTTTTATACCATCTATGGTCGCAGTATTAAATGGAGGCAATCAACTAACCAAGAATACTTTTACAGCAGCCTTGTTAAAAAGCAATACATCTAAAATGATCAATTACCAAATACCAATAAACTGATATACTAAATTGAAGATGATCATCTGAACCTCATTAATGTCGAAAACAGACTTTCTTCAGCCTGTCGGCAGGACTTACTTCCAGTCTCTGGCGATGAAGTACTGCAGCTCCAGCAGTCTGTGCTCGCAGTCCTCCACCATCTTCTCAGTGTACAGATGTTCCATGAGACACGACAGGATCCTGCAGGATCAGGAAACACAAACGCATTCACATCTCAGCCACACGGCGCAGCAGCCATAAGACCTTGAACGGTCGGTTCTTCTTCAGGTTTTTATCCACATGATCATACAGCAGGTGGGATCATTGCACTTTCTACTGTGTCAAATTTTAGGATTTCTATTTGCTGGATCCCTCTCCCTCCACGAGGACTCACATGGGGTCGCCGCTGCGGATGTGTTTGCATGCGGTCTGGATGACGGACTCACAGGCCTCGTTAAGCGCCCGATCGATGCGGTAGTCGGCCCCGGGGTCGGCTTCCTGGATCAACGTTTGCAGCTGTGGACGGAAAAAATATCATAATAAAATCAAAAAGTGAGCGCAAGACATTACACGACATTCTGGGACATGTAGGAATATGGCTGTGGGACGGTCAAACAGAGTTGTGTTCATGCAGGTAAATCTGTACAGTGATATCTATGTAAATGTTTCTGTAACCATACAGTGAATATTATAAATGCCATCTCACCGCCTTCTGACAGCTGGGATCGATGGCGCCCATGTCTCCTCGGCCGACCCTCATTAGGCAGTGCAGCGTTCGTCCTTTGCGGTGCAGACCGGAGCAGTGACTCTCAATCTCACTGCGACAGTGCAGCACGATCTCAGGACTCAGAGAGAAATCCTCCATCAGCATCCGCCTGTAATCCATCATCTCACCCTGACACTCGCCGCTGACCACACGACCTGAAAAACACACACACACTGTAGCTGTGGTATCTCGTTTAAGCACAAAATATTCAAACACATTTCACAAAAACAACTCGAGGAACCAACCTGGAAACTGACTTCTGAGGTTAAATGAAACTAACCTTCTACCCTCACACAAACTCGACAGTTTTACTTTGTCTGCCTCAGACTAGTCTTCAGCAAAATAAACAGGAGCAGGTTCGTAGTGGAGAAACAGAGCAATGACTGACATGTAATTGAGCTCTCAGTGGCCTCTGAGTGCCACACAAACAAAAAGGGACATTAATTAGTTGCTGGAGCCAAGAGCGACAGATAAAGGTCTGCTCACCTCGATGGACGGCTGACTCCAGACACAGCAGAAGGTAGGACAGGCGAGCTTCCCTCGCTCGGGGCATGCTGGTGTCCACGTTGCAGTGGTACTTCCTCAGGTCCGACTTGCAGGCTTTGGCCAGCGAGTAGCTGACCTTGTAGTCCTGAGCAATCAGTTTCTGTCTGGTGGTCAGCGCCTCGCGGCACTGATGACACACAACATACACAGACACTTATTACACAACTGAATGCTCAACGAGTCTGACTTTTAATCTGCAGGAAGGCCGTATCCATCACAATTTGTACACTTCATTGTTCTGTAACCATCATCACTATAAGACTTTTTCCCCTCACCAGGAGATGGAAAAGGTTCATTTTAAGTATTTTGTAGAGGAAAAAAAATCTCTATAAATAAAATGTGGACACAGTAAATGGCACTCACCCTCTCAGACATGGAATCCTCAAACTTGTGATTGAAGAGGCATTTGTAAACTCTTCCTTCCCCAGCCAGAGTCTGAAAAGAAAAAAAAAAGGAAAAAGTTCATCAACTTTCAAATTCAGTCATTTTAAGGTGCTTTACTAATGTTAGGCAACAACTACAACTTCTCTTTATCCCATGTGACACAGAAGGCAGCAACTAACTAACCAACTATAGGCTTTATCAAAAAAACAGAAAGACTGAAGGTTAATCTTAAAAAGTAGAGCAGCTGAATCCAAACTGGGAGCTGGGTTCGGAGCACACGGGCCTGAAAGCTGAAGGCTCTACCTCACATTCTAATTTTAAATGTCCCAGGAACCACAAACGAGCCTGCAGTCAGAGATAACTATGACGTCTTTAACGTGAACTTTCAATTCAGTTCAGGAGTCAGTGAAAAGAAACCAACGTGGGAAAACCGCAATCTTTCTTTATAGTTTATCACTTTGGATCCACTGAAGAACTTTTTTTGAGCGAGTAACAAATGAATAATGTCTTCCATTATAATATTTAATAATGTAGTTGTGTAGTTGATACTGTCAGGTACTGTTAGTTCATTTTAATTTGAATGTTCACAAAGTAATTTCTCCCACACAGTTTAAAGGTTTGTCTTCTAACTTTCAAAGTAAATAAAAACATCTGGATTTTTCTGATCGTTAACCTCTCGTGCTAACGTCATATAGTCTCGGCTAATCTGCACATTCAGAGAAACACATTTTAGCTCATCTTGAAACAAAGGGACGTTAATTTGAGAAGACCCTAGTTGGATGGTACTTCAGCTTACAAATAATACAAATTTAGCAGTTTTTTTTTTTTTAAATAGGATATAGAAATTTTTTTTTTTTAAAAAAGGTAGATCGGGAGAAGAGAACGTTAGAAAGTCTTTCCAGAATGTGACATTTAAGAGTATTACTGATCAATTTAAAATAATTGAATAAAAGAATCCTCTGAGCTCTAGAATAAAGGATTCTTACGTTTTCACAGAAGCGTTCTCTGTCGTCTCTGCAGGAGAAGTAGAGGTAGCGGTCCAGGTGGAAGTCGTCGGAGGAGAGCTCGGCGACTCTCATGATGGCCTTTTTACATTCCTCCCTGATGACGTGCGCCCCCGCCTGGTCCTCGACTTCACGAACCAAACCTTTTTCCAAACAGGCGATCACCTCGCCCTGAGAGTGGACGTCCTGTGAGGAGGGCAAAGGTACCACAGTTACTACTGCCGGTGTGGCTCAGCTCCGGTACGACAAGGATTCGTTTCCAGACAGCAGCTATTTTAACATTATTACTTCATTAGTCCAGCAGATATCTACACTTTTTCCAGCTTTGTGCCCCAATATCATGAATTATTACAAGTGCAGCAGTTTCCTGCCTGTGAGGAACAGAAACTCACAATGCAACTTAAAGAAATGCATTGTGGGTAAAGGCTCATATCAGTCAGTGGGAAAGGTGGGTGGTCAAAACAAGTTGGTGCATTTGAAATGTCTCCTTTATACTTATTCAAAGTTGATTGGAGTTGGTGTAAACTGAATTGAACAGCACCAGTTTATTTTTATTTATTCCATCTATTATGTAATGTGTCAAAGAGAACATGCACATTGGGTCATGCAGTTCTCAATGACACACACCAACCTCATCTCCTTTGTCAGCTCTACAGATAAGCCAAGAAATGATATCAACAAGCTATCTACAAGAAGCCGGGCCGCTTCGTATGGTGAGATATCACCAAATACAGAGGTCAGCTGCAGAAAATAAATAAATTAAACACAGTTTCAGCGACCTTTTGTGCTTCTGCTCTTAGAAAACATTTGTTCTTTGTCAGCTAAATGCTCAGGAGGCTCAGGGTTTGCTTTCCCGTCCAAATCCACATAAACACCTCATCTATAAAACAATGGCTTTACTCGCTACTGCGCGCGCTCCTTTTCCTCAGTTTTTGCTTCCTCCTTTGTCTTTTAAGCCTGTGAGATCAAGGACTAGATAAGAGTCCAGATGGGCTTCATCTTTTTATTTTCAGGAATCTAGGAGAGTGCAAACAGTCGTTTCATCTCAACCATCTAGTTTTAACAACAGGTGGAAGACAAATTTCTGATTAATTTCACAAAGTAGAGAGCTGAAGCTTGATTTTAAAGTTTAACATCAAGTTAAAGCTGAGTTAATAACACATTTTCTCATTTTGAGAATCAGTTCATAAACAATCCTGCCTCGTGTCGTTTCAGTGTGCGAGAAGTTAAAGCGCCAACATGGTCTGTCCGATTTCCACTCAGAGCCACTGTGACAAATTTCTGATAATGAAACTAAAAGCACTCCCGCCCACAGATAAATCATCCTCTCTGAGCTCTAATCGTGCCAACGTGATAATAAGTGTGTGTCTGAGGAGCTTATGGAGCTCTGCGGCAGGGAAACACGTTCAGTGGAAGATCGATTCGCTCTGCTCGCTGACAAGCTGCTACAAACTCCTCTTCTCTCATTTGAGCTCAGTCCACTTTGAGTTTATCTGCTCTCCGACCAAAATCCAGCAGGTCAGTAAGAATATGAGCAGCACTATAAACAATCTTCGATGTACAGCTAAGGCGTAGTTAGATCTCATGTCATCTTCTCTGACACATCGACACACCTCCAGAGAGGCCGCCATTTTTAAACCTCTGCTGTAAGCCTGCAACAACTGTGTGATTTCCATTTGAAACATTAATCAAGTCGAGCACCACAAATTCACCCTCCAGCATCAGAAACACATCCTGAGGCATCTGGGAGCGCTCATTCAGCACAAACTACTTCAACTGTGGTGTGTGCAGCAGTCCATTTGGTGCTGCAGTTTTTTTGGACACATCAACATAAGATTCCTGACAACCAGCTATAGTTTCTCCTGCAAGATCTTGTCTAATTCAACCAAATTTATAACAGTTAGGGCTTCGATTTATATGAACCTGCGACTAGAGCTCGCGTCAATATTTTCACTTTTTTGTATTGTATTGAATGTTTTCAATAATTGTCACGATATAGGTTCACATTAGTATCATAGGCAAGCAAAAACAAAAAACAAGTTGAAATAAACATTAAAAACTAATAACATTCATTTTTAACAGCTCATACAAATGAAATGCATGATTTCCCCCCACCCCCCCCAAAAAAACAACAACAAACATGGCAGATTATTGGTTCGTAGGTATTGACTCAAGTTAATGGGCAATATAACAATGTGCAGAGCATTACTGACTACAATCTCATCTCCATCTCCTAAAAAAAATAGAAGAAAAATAAAGTAGAGAATTATCTAATCAAGCAAATGTTCTGAATACAAACCCATTATTTATACATCTAACAACATGAGTGTAAATAAGAGCCAAAAACAACGAGTCAGCGACACAGATGTTACTCCACCAATAACCAAGCAGCACTAGTCAAACACAACAAGCTTCTTTCTCTGAAGTCCGACATCCCTTCTCCTCACCTTCTCTCCGGTGCTGATGCTGCCACATTTCAGCGTGTTGATGTCATCGCGACACTTGCCCATGAAGCCGCAGATCAGCCGGTAGTCACTGAAAACAATGGTGGTCATCTTGGTGATGTACTGGTTGCACTGGTAGTCGGTGATGTTGCCACGGTGATCTACAAGGCAGGAAACCAGGTAACCTTTCCCCAGCTCCTCCGCGGCACATTCTTTAATCTGAATGGAGAAAAGCGAAGGCGACACTTCGGTGAGAGCTGAAACATAAACCTGCCTTTAAAAGCACCTCGTGTCACCTGTCCAGAACAACGAGGTCTGAACACTTCTGATTAACTCAGCTTTATTTTTACACTTGAATGTACCAATGTCCTTTTTCCTACAAAAATCTAGAAATTGTGATTTTCATTGAAAAAAATAAATACATTTTTAAAAGTTCTCCATTTGTATCTGTGCGCTTTTCTTCGTGCTACCTGGTACTGCACTCCAATCGTTTCTAGATTTGGACCTTTTACTGTAATTCATGCTAAAGGTTTACATTGGTGAGGGTCGTGAACAGATTTTGCCCTTCCATAGGAAAACCACCGGGACTGAAAAGAAATATCTGTAAGCAGTTTTTCCTCAGTGCTGTGTGACAACTTTTCAATGGCAGAAAAATGTGTTTGTCCCTCTGCAGCCATTAATTAAAACTAAATAAATAAAATCCAATTAACCACTCATATTTTCCAACATGCCCATCACTTCCAGATCAGGAACCAGCTGAAATTTTATGATCTATGATTTTGTCCCAAAGCACAGAGACCAACAAACACAAAACTACTGCGATGGCAATGAAAGCATTGAACACGAGCAGACGATGAAAGGAGGAAGAAAAAAAAAAAAATGGATTCACACATTTGCTTTCGTTTGAGTCCACCGATTGGCTGAACTCATCGAGTGACGCCTCGTTCACAAAAATCAAAACTGCCATTTTTGAAACCCGGCAACACACTGTGCTCCCCGAGTCTGACGGAAAGCCACACACCGAGCAGCAGGGATATCGTCAACGTCCACCTATGTTGTAGCGTTCGTGTCACATACTAATTACGTCATAGGACGCTCGGCAGC